TGCCTGCTCCCCTTTCACCTTCTGCCATGAGTGGAAGCTTCCTGAGGCCTCACCAGAAGCCCAGCAGATGCTGGCAACATGCTTGTATGGTCTGCAGAACTGTGAACCAGATAAACCTCTTTGCTTGATAAACCCCTCAGCCTCCGCGCTATTCCTTTATAGCAACACGAAAAGGACTATGACAGTCAGGCACGGGGAGACACACAGAGCTCGACTGGGCCTCAGGTCAGGAAGGAAACTTCCCTTTCCAGCCACATGTGGATGGGGCCTGTGTTCACTGGGGAAGCGGCACCTGCAAACCTCAGCTCTTCCATCTGTAAAATGGGCATCTCCACACCCACTTAGCTGAGATCATGGGAGCAAAGGAGAAGCTAAATCCCTAAGGATGCAGCCCCACAATGGGCCCCAGGAGGAGCTTCAGAGAGACAGACAGCCCAGGAGCCAAGTCTCAGCCATAAGCGGAAGGTACTGGAAGGTTTTCCAGGAGCAGACAGCCCTCCTCGGACAGTGGAAAGATGGTAAAGGACATGAACCCACAATTCACACAAGGAAACAAACCCCCAAGCCTAAAAAGAGATGTTCAGTTTGGCTTTTTAATTTTTTGAGACAGGGTGGAGTACAGTGGTGTGATCACAGCTCACTGCAGCCTTGACCTCCTGAGCTCAACTGATCCTCCTGCCTCAGCCTCCCCAGTAGCTGGGATTACAGGTGCATGGCACCATGCCTGGCTAATGTTTGTATTTTTTTTTTTTTTTAGAGATGGGGTCTCACTATGTTGTCCAGGCTGGTCTCAAACTCTTAGACTCAAGCAATCCACCCACCTTGGCCTCCAAAGTGCTGATATGATAGGCATGAACCACCGTGCCTGGTGGAGTTGTCCAGCTTTAACAAACAACAACAAATGCACCAATAACAAGATTCCACCCTGACCCCTCAGACCATCATGGATGGAAGCCTGATGACGCCCAGTGTCTTCTAGGATCTGCGGAATGGGGGCCTGTCCAGCACAGATAACAGAGGGTCCCTGGTCAACATTTTGGGAAGAAAAGGTGGTGACATCGTCGGAACCGAGAAGGTGGTACCTGCTGATGTGACGATTCCGTACCTAGGAATTTACTGTAAAGACCTTGTTGGACACGTGGGCAAAGATGTCTACCTATATCCTTATCCTTGTTCTGATGGCAGAACTGTGAACGCTTCCAAACTGGAACCATCTCAAATCTGCCTTCAGAGGTGTGGTTAGGCCACGTTGCATTTCTAGGATGGGTGGTGTGCAGTGGTGGCTCGGAGGGCACCCGCAGGCTATGTTAAGTGAAAGAGTTATCCGATGTGTGGTCTCTTTTCTCTCTCTTTCCTTCTTTTTCTTTCTCTCTCTCTTCCCTCCCCTTCCCTCCTTCCTTCCCTCCTTCCTTCCTTCCTTCCTTCCTTCCTTCCTTCCTTCCTTCCTCCCTCCCTCCCTTCCTTCCTGTCTTTCAGTCTCTCCCTCTCTCTCTCTCTCTCTCTCTCTTTCCTTCCTTCTGATGGAGTCCTGCTCTGTTGCCCAGGCTAGAGTGCAGAGGTGCGATCTTGGCTCACTGCAACCTCTGCCTCCCGGGGTCAAGTGATCCTCCTGCCTCACCCTTCCAAGCAGCTGGGATTACAGCACCCACCACCACACCTGGCTAATTTTTGTATTTTTAGTAGAGACGGGGTTTCACCATGTTGGCCAGGCTGGTCTTGAACTCCTGATCTCAGGTGATCTGCCCACCTCGGCCTCCCAAAGTGTTGGGATTACAGGCGTGAGCCACCACGCCTGGCTAGTGGACCATTTTATATGGGTCATATAAAACACGGACTACCTACCTATCCTGTCCCATTGGCCTGTTTGTTCTTTTGGCAATGCCACCTTGTGCCTCTTTGTTTTTTGTTCATTTGTTTTTGTTTGTTTTGTTTTGTTTTTTTTTTTGAGACGGGGTCTCACTCCATCCACCAGGCTGGAGTGCAGTGGTACCATCGCAGCTCACTGCAGCCTCCACCTCCTGAGCTCAAGCGATCCTCCCACCTGAGCCTCCCGAGTGGCTGGGACCACAGGTGCACACCAACACACCAGGCTAATTTTTTATTTTTTGTAGAGACAGGGTCTTGCTGTGTTGTCCAGGCTGGTCTTTAACTCCTGGGCTCAAGCAATCCTCCTGCCTCAGCTTCCCAGGTATCTGGGACTACAGGTGCATGCCACATGCCTGCTTAGTTATTTATTTTTTGTAGAGACGGGTTTCACTATGTTGCCTAGGCTGGTCGAGAAAGTTTTTAATTCCTTCACAGAGCTGTGCGACCATCAACACTATCTCGTTCCAACACTTTTTCTTTTCTTTTTTTGAGAGGGAGTCTCGCTCTGCCGCCAGGCTGGAGTGCAGTGGCGCGATCTCGGCTCACTGCAACCTCCGCCTCCCAGGTTCAAGCGATTCTCCTGCCTCACCCTCCTGAGTAGCTGGGACTACAGGCGTCAGCCACCACGCCTGGTCTTTTTGTTTGTTTGTTTGTTTTTAAGAGTTAACATTCTGTCACCCAGACCAGACTACAGTGGCACCTTCTTCTCTCACTGAAGCCTTGAACTCCTGGTCTCAAGTGATCCTCCCACCTCAGCCTCCCAAGTTGCTGAGATTACAGGCGTGAGCCAGTGTGCTGGCTGAATTCCAGAACTGTTTCATCACCTTAAATGGAAACCCTGTCGGCATTAGCAGTCACCCTGTCCCCTCCAACCACACATCCATATTCTCTGTGGATCTGCCTGTTACGGACATTTCTGCTTATTTCTGCTTTTTTTTTTTTTTTTTTTTGAGACAGAGTCTTGCCCTGTTGCCTAGGCTGGAGTGCAGGGACACGATCTTGGCTCACTGCAACCTCTGCCTCCTAGGTCCAAGCATTTCTCCTGCCTCAGCCTCCTGAGTAGCTGGGACTACAGGCGCCACCACACCTGGCTAATTTTTTGTATTTTTAGTAGAGAAGATAGGGTTTCACCACGTTGGCCAGGATGGTCTGGATCTCCTGACCTCATGATCCGCCCATCTTGGCCTCCCAAAGTGCTGGGATTACAGGCCTGAGTCCCGCACACCTGGCCTGGCTTCCTTCATGAAATAGGTGTTGAGGGGACCACGGTTCCGAGCCCACTCCCCAACCATGTTTCTGCACTGATGGAGGAGGCGGGGCTAGTCCGAGGGAAGCAGCTAGAAGACTTAAGATGTTCTGGGTGCCCTGTCCCCTCACAGCTGCGTGGCCTCGGACAAGTCGCTTCTGTGCCGTCTGTGGAGAACGATCTAAAAGTGGGATCGGGGCTGGGGGCGGTGGCTCACACCTGTAATCCCAGCAGTTCGGGAGGCCGAGATGGGCGGATCACCTGAGGTCAGGAGTTCGAGACCAGCCTGGCCGACGTGGAGAAAGAATTAGAGTCTTGTTCATGGCGAAACCCCATCTCTACCAAAAATACAAAAATTAGCCGGGCGTGGTGGCGGGCGCCTGTAGTCCCAGCTACTCAGGAGGCTGAGGCAGGAGAATCGCTTGAACCAGGGAGGCGGAGGTTGCAGTGAGCCCCGATCGCACCACCGCACTCCAGCCTGGGTGACAGAGCAAGACTGCGTCTTGAAACAAAAACAAACAAACAAACAATAAAAGTAGGACTGGCATTTCCCTCCCATGGTCATATGCAAAGGAGTGAATTAAATTCTTTCTGGAAGAGGCCGGAAAGGCACTGCATGAATGGGATATACCGTGGGCGCCACGGACCAGCTGCTGTGAGGTACGGCCGGAGTTCTGCCGCCTCGGAGAGGCCTGGGTATCCTGAGACGAGAGATGCTGCCTTCTCACCTCGGGTGCCTGGGTCTGGCCCAGAGCCCGTCATACCTGGGCTGGTGCAGTCCAGGTGAAACCCGCCCTGCCAGCCACCCCCGCCATCTCCCTGGTGGGGGGATCCCTGCTGGGCCTGCATTCTGACATCATGCCTTCAAACTCAACGGTGAGGCTACAGGAACACGCATCCCATATGACGCTGAAGATGGGGCTTGGGGCTGACTTTGAGCCCTTCCTCTCCCTCTCTCTTTTCTCACTACAATGTTGTGCCGCCATCACCACCATCCTCTCCAGAACTTTCTCCTCTTCCCAAACTGAAACTCTATCCCTGTGAAACACTCACTCCCTGTCCCCCTCCCCAGCCCCCGGCATCCCCCATCCTACTTCCTGTCTCTGTGAATCCGACGACTCTAGGGACCTCCCAGAAGTGGGATCACACAGGACACGTCCTTTCGTGTCTGGCTCCTCTCACTGAGCGTGAGGTCCTCAAGGTTCATCACGCTGTAGCCTGTGTCTGGATTCTCTTCCTTTTCATGGCTGAGTAATATTCCACTGTCTGGTTGGACCATGCTGTGTTTATCTACTGATGGACGCCTGGGGTGGCTTTCACCCTGGAGTTGTTGGGAATCGTGCCGCTGTGCACATGTGTGTGCAAACACCTCTTTGAGTCCCTGCTGTCGGTTCTGTGGGATCTATACCCAGGAGTGGGATTGCTGGGCCCTATGGTAATTCCACGTTTACCCATGTGAGAAGCCGCCAGGCTGGGCCTTGTTCCATCCCCACCAGCCGCGCACGAGGGTCTGTTTCTCCACCTCCTCTCCTGCTCTTGTCCGAAACCGCACTTGTTATCTGAGCCTCAGTGTCCTGTCTATTAAATCGGCTCGGGGTTCCTCCAAGGCTGCTGGCAGGCCCTGTGAAAGGCTGTCAGCTCCAGCGGCTGTTAGCCGTAGGGGCACAGTGGTTCTCTCTGAGCTGTCAGGGAACCAGGGAAGAAAGGCTGGTTGGAGTCTCTCTTTCTTTTTTCTTTTTCTTTCTTTCCTTTTAGACAGGGTCTTGCTCTGTTGCCCCGGCTGGAGTGCAGTGGCACCATGATTGCTCACTGCAGCCTGGACCTCCTGGGCTCAAGCCGTCCTCCCATCTCAGCCTACGGAGTAGCTCTCTCTCTCTTTTTTCTTTTCTTTTCTTTTCTTTTTTTTTTTTTTAGACAAACGTTGTGTTTAATGGTAAAGCTTAGCACACCCCAGCCCCAGGAATGGCGTGGAGCTGTAGCAGCAACAGGCAGGTGGCCCCCACGGAGCCTTACATGGCAAAGAGGATGAGGAAGGCGACCGTCAAACAGAAGAACCCCACGGCCTCAGGCAGGGCAAAGCCCAGAATGGCACAGAAGAAGAGCCACTGCTTGACAGACAGGTTCCTGGCATAGCCAATGATCAAGCTGCCCAACACCGTCCCAATGCCAGCCCCTGAACCCGCCACACCAACTCTGGCTGCCCCAGCACCAATCAACTTGGCTGCCGTGTCAATGTCCCGGGAGACAACACTGGTCTGGAACTCCCGTCTGGCCACCTGGAGTGGGAAGCTGCTGTGGGAAGGCTGTTTAGATGAATTCACTGGGCCGTTCAAGAAGGAGGCAGACACAGGCCTGGTTAGCCCCCTGGTACAACAGCGGATCAGAGCTGGAGACATGAGCAACGCCCCGGTGGTCTGCATGTTTTCAGTCGTTGGTAACTAACATGAATTGATACGGCCATATCTAGATTGCCATCACCTCTCCCAGCACTGGGGGAGAAATACCCCTCCATACTGCCCAGCCCACAACCCTGCCTATTGCTGGCTCCCGGCCCCAAGTCACCTGCACTCCCCCCTTTTTGTTTTTTTTTTAGACAGGGTCTTGCTCTGTTGCCCAGGCTGGAGTACAGTGGCACCATGATAGCTCACTGCAGCCTGGACTTCCTGGGCTCAGGCCATCCACCCGCCTCAGCCTCCAGAGTAGCTGGGACCACAGGTTTGCACCACCCTATCCAGCTAATTTTTTAAATTTTTTTTTTTTTTTTTTTTGAGACTGAGTCTCGCTCTGTAGCCCAGGCTGGAGTGCAGTGGCCGGATCTCAGCTCACTGCAAGCTCTGCCTCCCGGGCTTATGCCATTCTCCTGCCTCAGCCTCCCCAGTAGCTGGGACTACAGGCGCCTGCCACCTTGCCTGGCTAGGTTTTTTTTGTATTTTTTAGTAGAGACGGGGTTTCACCATGTTAGCCAGGATGGTCTCGATCTCCTGACCTCGTGATCCGCCCGTCTCGGCCTCCCAAACTGCTGGGATTACAGGCTTCAGCCACCGCGCCCGGCCTAATTTTTAAAATTTTTTGGTAGAGATGGGGCCTTGCTGTCGCCAGGAACTCCTGGGTTCAAGCAATCCTCCTGCCTCGGCCTCCCAAAGTGCTGGGATTATGGGTGTGAGCCACAGTGCCCGGCTCTAGTCTTTTTGGGCGTCCTTTGGGAGTGATCTGGAAAGCTTCAGGGAAGTGCACAGAGCAGAACGGGCGCCTCCTCAGGGCGTGTGGACACGCAGACACATGCAGACACACGCAGGCCTACACACACGCTCACACACGGGTACATGCAGACACACGCAGGCACATGCAGGCAGACACACACAGACACACGCTCACACATGGGTACACACAGACACATGCAGAACCAGATACACAAACGCACGCTCACACATAGGTACACACAGACACACGCAGGCACATGCAGGCAGACACAGACACACGCTCACACACAGGTACATGCAGACACACGCAGGCACACGCAGGCAGACACACACTCGCTCACACACAGGTACACACAGACACACGCAGGCACACACAGGCAGACACAGACACACGCTCACACACAGGTACACACAGACACACGCAGGCACACACAGACACACGCTCACACACAGGTACACGCAGACACACACAGAACCAGATACAGACACACACTCACACACAGGTACACGCAGACACACGCAGGCCGACACAGACATATGCTCACACACAGGTACACACAGACACACGCAGGTACACGCAGGCAGACACACACGCTCACACGCGGGTACATGCACACACGCAGAACCAGATACACACACGCTTACACACAGGTACACGCAGGCACACGTAGGCAGACACACACAGACACACGCTCACACACAGGTACACGCAGACACACACAGACACACGCAGAACCATACAGACGCATGCACACTCACACACAGACACATGCAGCACAGGCACGTGCTCCCAGAGCAGGAGTTGTGAGGCTGGCGGAATCCAAGACTGAGTTTCCCAACCCACCGCAGTGGGGCGGCCTCGGATGACGTGCAGGCATGCAGCCCGGATGGCCCCAGAGGACCGCAGCAAAAACAAACACGCCGGGTCGATTCCAGCAGAACCCTTCGACCCAGGCCTGCACACGGTGTGCTGGGAATCTGCCCTGGGTGGGGCTGTCCCACTCCCTCCCAGAGTTCGCTGTGGTCCCTGGATGCTTGCTGACCCCAGGGAGGACAGGGCGGGCCGCGGCAGGCGGGGGATGGGCACTGCAGCAGCTGCTGGCCGCCCTCACACGTCTGGGAAACCAGGAACCCTTGGGAACTAAACTTGGTCTTTTAAATTAATTAATTTAAGAAACAGGGTCTTGCATCACTGCGCAGGCTGGAGTGCAGTGGTGCAATCACAGCTCACTGCAGCCTCGACTTTCAGGGCTCAAGCGATCCTCCCACCTCAGCCTCCTGAGTAGCTGGGACTATAGGTGTGCACCACCACACCTGGGTAATTTTCTTTTTTTCTTTTTTTGAGACGGAGTCTTGCTCTGTTGTCCGGGCTGGAGTGCAGTGGCCGGATCTCAGCTCACTGCAAGCTCCACCTCCCGGGTTTACGCCATTCTCCTGCCTCAGCCTCCCGAGTAGCTGGGACTACAGGCGCCCGCCACCTCGACTGGTTAGTTTTTTTTTTTTTTTTGTATTTTTTAGTAGAGACGGGGTTTCACCGTGTTAGCCAGGATGGTCTCGATCTCCTGACGTCGTGATCCACCTGTCTCAGCCTCCCAAAGTGCTGGGATTACATGCTTGAGCCACCGCGCCCCGCCTTTTTTTTTTTCTTTTCTTTTTTTGAGACAGAGTCTCACTGTCGCCCAGGCTGGAATGCAGTGGCTGGATCTCAGCTCACTGCAAGCTCTGCCTCCCAGGTTTATGCCATTCTCCTGCCTCAGCCTCCCAAGTAGCTGGGACTACAGGCGCCCACTACCTCGCCCGGCCAGTTTTTTGTATTTTTTAGTAGAGACAGGGTTTCACCGTGTTAGCCAGAACGGTCTCGATCTCTGGACCTCATGATCCGCCCGTCTCAGCCTCCCAAAGTGCTAGGATTACAGGCTTGAGCCACCGCGCCCGGCCCCTATCTGGGTAATTTTTAAAACTTTTTTTTACAGATGGGGTCTCCCTGGGTTGCCCAAGCTGGTCTCAAACTCCCGAATGCAAACGATCCTCCTGCCTCGGCTTCCTGAGTAGTTAAGACTACAGGAACGCAGCACCACCCTAGCTAATTTTTAAAATTTGTTCTAAAGACGAGGTCTCACTATATTGCCCAGGCTTGTCTCAAACTCCTGGGCTCAAGTGATCCTCCCGCCTCAGCCTCCCAAAGTGCTGGGATTACAGGTGTGGGCCTCTGCGCCCAGCCTGAATTTATTCTTAACTCATTGACGCTACATGAGTCATCAGGGCTGTCCCGTGTTCAAAGTTCCAGTAAGTCTTTGTACTTCCGTTGGCAGGGTCAGGACAAGGTCCACCTCGCAGACTAGGGCTGTGGGGACAGTAAGCTCAGTCTCTGTGTTGCATAACCAATCACCACCCATGTGGTGGCTTCCAACACCATCCACTTAGTACATCACAGTTTTGGGGGGTCAGGAGTCTGGGAACAGCCAAGCCAAGGCCTCTGCTCAGGGTTCCCCCAGGGCTGCAGTCTGGGTGTTGGACGGGGCTGCGTCTCATCCGAGGCTCGGCCGGGGAAGGCTCCTCATCCAGCATTCCCTCAAGCTGTTGGGACCATTTGCCTCCCTGTGGTTGTAGGACCGGGGTCCCTGTTTCCTTGCTGGCTGTTGCCTGGGGGACACTCCCAGCTCCTAGGGGCCACGCTTGGGTCCTAGCTATGAGGTCCTTCTTGGGCCTTCTCACAATGCACTGCTCACTTCTTCATACCAGGAACCAGCAGGGGAGTGTCTTCCCATGACTCTGCTAAGGTAGAGTCTTCTGGCTGGGCGTGGTGGCTCACGCCTGTGATCCTAGCACTTTGGGAGTCTAAGGCAGGAGAATTGCTTCAAGCCAGAGGCAGAGGTTGCAGTGAGCCGAGATCATACCACTGCACTCCAGCCTGGGCAACAGAGCGCAGGCGGGAATAAATCTAAAAAGAAAACAAAGTACATCCTTTTTCTTATTTTCACTTTCATATTTTGCTTATATTGAGTTTTTTGTTTTTTTGTTTGTTTGTTTTTTTGAGATGAAGTCTTGCTGTCACCCCGGCTGGAGTGCAATGGCATGATCACAGCTCACTGCAGCCTCGACCTCCCAGGCTCCAGATCCTCCCACCTCAGCCTGTCGAGGAGCTGCGGCCACAGGTACGCACCACCACGCCCAGCTAATTCTTTTATTTTTTTATAGAGACGGTGGTCTCACTGTTGCCCAGGCTGGTCTTGAACTCTTGGGCTCAAGCAATCCTCCCACTTCGGCCTCCCAAAGTGCTGAGATTACAGCCGTGAGCCACCACGCCGGGCCTCACGCTTGTCTTATTCAGCATTATGACATCATAGAGGGTGCTGATTCTTAGAGGTTTTGAGGGTCTGAGGGTTTTGAGGCTCAGAGATTTGCTGAGGCTCAGAGATTTGCTGAGACTCAGGTAGACGTAGGCAGAACTGGGACCAATTCCCTGTTAGAGCCGGGGACCCTCACAGAACCCAATACGGGACCCAGGGGACCGAGGGCAGCCTGGTGCTGACTCCTTACTCGCCCTGCTCACTACTCTATTTTAGGAAGCGATTTGCGTTTTTCTATTTGATTGAATCTCTTCCTGAATGCTTGCTCCGATTCTTTGTGGAATGAGGCAGAATATAAATAAATCAACAGAAAACGGTGCTCCAGCCATGAGAGACTGCTCGTCCTGCAGGGCCGAAGGAATGCACAAGCAACGCCCGCTCAGGGTTAGGCTCAACGGCCGGTAGCCCCAGGTTTCATGGCTAACCAGGCCGGAGAAGCTGGGCAGAAAAGCACCTGTTTGCAGCTCCCGTTCAGCAGGATCTCTCCCGCTCAGCCCTGTGGACATTGGGGCTGGATCCTTCTCTCTGGGGTGGGGCCGTCCTGGACACCGCAGGGTGCTGAGCAGCGTCTCTGGCCTCCACCCACTCCCTGCCAGGAACCCCCCAACACCCCGAGACCAAGAATCATCAGCCTCCAAACGTTATGTTAACATGCCCAAGGAGGGAAACCATGCTAAAGGAATTTAGCTAAGGTCACAGAGCTGGGAAGGGGTGGATCGGGGCCTCAAACCCCTGGCTCCTGGCCCCCTAGGGGCCGAGCTGTGGGGATTTGGATCCCAGACTGACCCCCGGCATGGAAAACCACCAGCGTGGACCGGCGCCAGACCTGCTTGTCTGTCGCTTGTCTGCGAGAGGCCAGGAAATGGCTGGGAGAGGGAGAGACGGTTAAACGAAAAAACATCCCAAGAATGCACATTGCTCGTCTCCGGCCCTGGCAGCCCGCCTCGCCGGTGCCTGCAGCAGAGGGTCCCATGATTTTGGGCTCCGCCTCAGCATCTGCGGGATGAGTGCCACTGGGCGGGCAGGTCCAGACCTCGCCAAGGTCTGGACAGGGGTCACCCAGACA